TGCTATCATGGTCTGTATTCTCAAACTATGAACCATGAATCAATCTTATATTGCTTCTCAGGTGTTTTATCATAGCAATGAGAAAAGAAATGCAGGGGACAAATAAGAATAAAATACAACCAGGAAGTGGTGGTGCACGCCTTTAATTCCAACACTCAGGGAGACAGAGACAGGCAGATCTCTGTGAGTTCGAGGCCAGCCTGGTCTACAGAGTGAGTTCCAGGACAGCCAGAGATACACAGAGAAATCCTATCTCAAAAAACCTAAATAAATAAATAAATAAATAAATAAAATACAATAATATGGGCATACAAAAATTTTACAATAAAACACATTTTCTTGCAAGATAACCAAAAACTAATTTAAAAAATAAAAGGGACAAGAGTGTGCTGGTGTATACCTGTAATCCCAGCACTTAGGAGATAGAGGTAGAGGATCAGGAGTTCAAAGTCAGTCTGGGCTACATGAGACCCTGTTTCAAAAACTCAAAATTAAGTCTAGCATGATGGGACACTCTTGCAATCCCAGTCCTTTGGAGAGAGGCAAGAAGATCTGGGCTTCAGGATCACCCTTGGCTATGTACCAAGTTCAAGAATTGCCTGGACTACCTGAGGCTTTGTCTCAAAAAAAGAAAAAAGAAAAACAAAACAGGAGAGGACTAGGGGCTGGGGATGAGTCAGTAGGTAAAGTGCCTGCGGAGCAAGTGTGAAGACTAAAGCTCTTCAGCACCCTCCTGCAAAGCGCAGCACTGATAGGTGGAGACAGAGCATCACAGAAGCTTGTTAGGCAGCTTCCAGGTCCAGCGAGAGACTCTCAAAAGTAAGACGTAGAGTGGAAGAGGAGGACACCCAGAGTTGACATCTGGCCCCCACACCTGCACATACCTGCATACACATACATGCCACACACAGACACACACACATACATACAAATCACAAATAAGAGATATATTTTATGAACTTTTTCGCAAAAAACAATTGGCAAAACTTAGTGAACATAACAGATGGAGATGAAATGCAGGTAAAGGAAATTCCATAGGTAGCCCCAGTATGCATTATCTAAACTAGTATTCCATAGGATCCTTGGGGGCTAATAGTTACTCAAAGATTTCTGAGTTCAGTATCATTTTCCTGACAGAAAATCCTTAGCATATGTCTGCATTTTATCTGTAAGATGAGGATAACACAATATCGAAGTTGTGAGAATAAGAAACAGTGTCAGTAAGGCACATGACTTGTTCAACAAAGAACAGACAACATCATACAATACTTCCAGGATCACACTAACTAAAGTAGATGTTTTCCATCAGAATTATAATTTGCGGTTCAAGGGCTAGACAAATAGCTAGATCACTGACATTACTAACAAGGCTCAGAAAGGTTCAAGGTGCTGTCCAGGAAATTGAGATTGGGTCCTAGGCAGTAGTTTCTAGGACCCTTGTTCTTATTGTACCTCACATTCAAGTCTCAAAGACTTCCATAAAAGGGAAAGGTTCTATCTAAGCAGTATGCATTCTGCTACATTAGTTTAGAACATCAAGACAGTTTTTTTTTTTCTGTGAAGGAGGCAAAAGAGTGGAGGAGAGTCAGTTAGATCCAGTGCCCCTCTAAAGAGAGATCCAGTTCAAGGTGAGGCTTACCTAGGATGGGTATCCTCCCATCTCTGTGAATTGGCTCATGCTAGCCCACTGCCTGTCTTTTACATGCCCACACTTGGCCAGTTTGTTCAAGACATATAAAAATCAACCTCTCCCAGATTTTCCTCTGACTACCCACCACACTGCTCATACATAAAATGCTGGCATCTATCCACGTTCCATTGAACAATCCCATGTGGTCTTCTACACCCTTCCTACCTCAATCTGACCTCTCAACAATACAAATTCCTGGAGGATAATCCAGGATGGTGCTAGACACATGATCAGTGTTTAAGAGATACCTGAGTTAGGCTGGTCTTGGTGACATGCACCTTAAATCCCAGCACTCAGGAGGCAGAGAGACTGGTGCATCTCTGTGAGCTCAAGGTCAACCAGGGCTCCACAGTAAAATCCTGTCCCAAAACAACAACAAACAAAGCCCCCCGGACTGAATGTCTGTTCCTGGGCTGCTGTCTGCACCGTGTCATCACGTGTCAGGGCAGTGTGTTCTACTCACCTGGAGAAGCTTCCTTTCATCCTTGAGGGCTATTGCTTCTCTCTGCTCTGCCCAGCAGGAAAGAGTGCGCAGGGCAGCAGCCCGGGTTGGAATCTGGGGATCACAGGCTGACAAGAGAACCTCCTGGAACTGTTCTGAGGTTACATTTCTATGTGGCTGACTTGCCACAATGCCAGGCTCATGAGATTCCTGGTCTGTTTTGGGAGGGTCCTGCTCTTGTTCCGGGTGGTCCTGAGCTACTTCTGCGAGTATGTCATGTTGCTGTTCTCTTTTCCTTTCCGGGTCTTTTTTGTTCAGAGTACTTTGGGCAGCCATGCTGACAGCCTCCGTGGAAAAGGCTCCGTGAGTAGAGATGGTAATTCGGAGATCAACAGCGAGTTCTTGGATGACAGGGTCGGGGTATGTATTAGAGACCTTCTCCAACAGAGGCAGCAGCTGCTTCAGGACTGCAAAATCACTTGACTTCAACTATAAAATGAAAATTTAAAAATAGTAAGTCAAAATTAATGTGGAAAATGTTAAGAAGTGAATATAAGGAGTAACAGTCATGCCATGTTCATGGTGCGGTCAGCACAGTGCCAGGACAAACACTGAAGAGCTATTTGCTAGCTAATTACAGCTAACATTCATTGAACACTGTCCACACACAGGCGCTTTTCTGAGTTAACAAGCACACAGAACAGTAACCTGAGATAAAGTGACAATTAGTTGCTACATTTGAAACAGACACTTAAGAAGGATGCCCAGGGGCTGGAGAGATGGCTCAGTGGTTAAGAGCATTGCCTGCTCTTCCAAAGGTCCCGAGTTCAATTCCCAGCAACCACATGGTGGCTCACAACCATCTGTAATGAGGTCTGGTGCCCTCTTCTGGCCTGCAGGCATACACACAGACAGAATATTGTATACTAAATAAATAAATATTTAACCAAAAAAAAAAAAAAAAGAAGGATGCCCAGAATCACAAACCAGAACATAGTGTAGAGTGAAGAAGCTACAGTCCAGGCAGTGTGGCTCATGTCTGTATCACAACGGGGAGACTGGAGCAGGAGAACTACCCTGAGTTCAAGACTAGCTAGGGCTACATGAGATCTAAAACAGCCTGGGATCCTGTATCAAAAGAAAAATAAAATAAAAAGTCATATTTTGGAATATAAAAATTAAATTTTAGCTGGGCAGTAGTGGTGGATGCCTTTAATTAATCCCAGCACTCAGGAGGCAGAGAAAGGCAGATCTTTGTGAGTTCAAGGCCAGCCTGGTCTACAAAATTTGGAGCCAGGATAGAGCTACAGAGAAAACCTGTCTCAAGAAAATAAAATAAAATAAAAAGGAAAATTATATTTTTGCCTAAAAACCATCCTTTAATGCTGCTTCCTGGGAATGAAGAGGTGGCTCCAGAGTTAAGAGCACCTGCTGCATAACCAAGAGGACCAAAGTTCGAATCCCAGCGTCCGCACAGAAACTGCGTTTTCCATGCACACCTATAATCCCAGCTCCAAGCAGGGTGGAAACGGGGATTATGAGGGCTCCCTGAAGTCTAGCATAGCGGAGAGAACCCGCCTCAAAGCAATAAATCGAGTGATACCGGACACTTCATACCGTTTTGGCCTCTGCACACACATAAATACACACATGTGCATACACACTCTTATATACACATACAAATAAATAATAAATGACTCTTTAAAAAAATATTTATTTCTGGGCTGGAGAGATGGCTCAGTGGTAAAGAGCATTGCCTGCTCTTCCAAAGGTCCTGAGTTCAATTCCCGGCAACCACACAGTGGCTCACAACCATCTGTAATGAGGTTTGGTGCCTTCTTCTGGCTTGCAGACATACACACAGACAGACCATTGTATACATAATAAATGAATAAATATTTTTAAAAAATACTTATTTCTGCTAGATTTTTGGGTGTTGGCAGTCCTGAAAGATTCTATATCTTTTTGTTTTATTGGGTGTTTGTTTGTTTGTTTTTCTTTTTCGGAAGCAGGGTTTCTCTATGTAAGAGCTCTGGCTGTTCTGGAACTTGCTTTGTAGACCAAGCTGCCCTTGCACTCAGAGATCTGCCTGTCTCTGCCTCCTGAGTACTGGGATTACAGGCATGCACCACCACTGTCCGGCTGCTTTGTTGTTTTTTGAGACAGGGTTTCTCTACAGAGTACTGGTGGTCCTGGAACTCACCATGAAGATCAGACTGACCTTGAACTCACAGATATTTCCTTGCCTCTGTCCCATAGCCCCCCAAGTGTTGGGATTAAAGGTGTGTGCCACCATACCTGATTAGACTCTAGTTCTTGGAAGCATTTACATCAAATCTGTAGTAGTTTAAATCAATAATAATAATTAAAAAAACCTTTGCAGGACACTGGTATTTCTGACACTTATTTCAGAAATAAGGCTCTGAAAATCTTTAACAACGTTTATAAATGAACACAATAAAGATAATTTCATATTTAGATGGCTTAATCTCAAATGCAGAAGGCATTGCAGACTAGTCCTTATATAACTAAGAGATCATTTAAAAATATATTTGTGCATGTGTATGTGCACATGTGTATTCATGTATACTCATTGCTGTGGGGCACAGTGCCTCTTCATGCAACTGTAGGTCAGAGGGCAATTTTGTGGAGTTGGTTCTCTTCCTCCACGTTTACATGAGTTCAAGGGATTAAAATCAGGTCTTCAGGTTTGTGTAGAGAGTGTCTTTGTCTGCTGAGTCGTATTATTGATGTTGAAAGATCATTTTCTGAAAAGATGTAAAATTAGGGACTAAGCAGATGGCTCGGCGGGTAAGAGCATTCACGGAGTAAGCATGAGGACTGGAGTTTGAACCCTCAGCAGCCATGTAAAATCTGGGAATGGCTGCACATGTGACTGCTATCTCAGAGCTGGGAGGGGGAGACAAGGAGAGACTCTGCTTCAAGGGAATAGGCAGAGAGTGACAGAGCAAGACACCTAGCATCTTCTTTTAGCTTTTGATGTACAAATGGTCACAAGAAGATATAAAATTAAGGCAAGGGATACAGCAGTAGCTTAGCTTGTGCAGGGCCCTGGTTGACGGTGCTGTGCACTCTAAATAAGAAATTTTACAGGCAATGACCACCTACCTATAAATGCTTGAAATTCTGAGAAACATTCAGGCTTCCTGGGAAATAACGAACAAAAACGCCCGTGAAAACACTATGTGTGGATCTTCTTTCCCTGCAACACATGACAAATGTTCCCGACACATCCATGGTGTACTGATGTCTGAGAGTTGCCCAGTAAGGGAAAGAGCAATGTTTTTAAACTTTTAAAAGCCTATGCCCTTTGATAAACATTTAAAAAGAAGAAAAAAAATAAGAAAAAAACAAAACTGCCTCCTTACCTAAAAATACTCTTCTCCTTTCTTTTTTTTTCCCCTGCCATTTGTCCATCCGTCCATGCTGTTTACTAGCTGCTGCATCAGGCTTACTAACAATGACCAGAAAGCAGGAAATGCCTGCTCAAGTGGCAACAGCAATTTTAAGAATAAATGATGTTCTATAGAGAGCATGTCCAGTCCAGTGAAGGGAAGAAAGGACAGAGTGGAACCAGTCAACTCTCCTAGCTGAATGAACAGGCTCACAGCAGGAATACCTTCTCTCTGCTTTCCTACTCTGTGACAGAACCCCTAGTTTGTTCACGACTATTCCACAGAATCCCTGATTTGCTATGGTTCTGAAATATAAGTCAACTACACCTGAAACACAGGCACAGGCTTAGCACAATGTTTTGGGATTTATGTGTATGAGTGTTTTGTGTGTATGTCTACACACCACATGAGTGCAGTGCCTCTGGAGGCCAGAAAAGAGCCTGGAACTGGAGTTATAGATGGTTGTGAGGCACCATGTGGGTGTCAGGAACCATCCTACGAGAGCGACAAGAGCTCTTTACCTCTGAGCCATCTCTACAGTCCTTAGGGAAACTTTGTTTTACTAAAGAGTTTAAGTAATAGCCTTTGGAAAGAAAGGAAAATAGAAAGTATGAATAAATGGAAGGAACAAAGGGAAAGGAAAGACACAAGAAGACCTAAATAGCTAAAGACAGCTGTCCCTTTAGAGAAAAGATACACCTTTGGTGTCTAGCTAATGAATCTCACAAGATCTGGTCTTAATGGCTAGGCGTCCAGCCTTTAGCAATACATTCCATTGCTACCCTGGCACAATATGGCTTCAGTGTATCCTAAAGCTAGAATGGTCTATTCAGCTTCAATAACCAGGGCAACAGTGGGCCCACCAGCTCCGCAACATCAAGCAGAAACTGCTCCCTAAGGGGACAGGAGAGACTCCTCAATGTGCTACTTTTACTGATGACCAAGCCTGGAATTTAGAAAGTGAGTATGGAATTACAGTCATCTTGTTAGCAATCTTAAACCTGCACTTTCTCCAAATTGACTCTCTTCCCAGACGTGAAGTTTTAATAGTCACCTTAATTACATGACTTAGAAAGGAATGAAGAAAAGCCCCGATGCTGTTAGATTCTGTTTCATTAGCCAAAACAATGACTCCTAACAGGGAGTATGTAGAGCACGGTGTTCCAGGCTCTAAAGCAAAGACTTAGGGTGACAGTAATCAACTAACCCCATAGTTTTCAAGTGTTACTTTATTGTGAATATGAAACAAAATCTAGCATTACTAAGGAGACTTTACAGGGCTGGAGAGAGAGCTCTGCGGTTAAGAGCACTGGCTGCTCTTCCGGAGAACCAAACTCAATTCTCAGCACCCATGTGGTGGCTCAGAACCATCCAAACTCCAGTTCCAGGAACTCCTACAACCCTCTTCTGACCTCCTTGGGCACTGGGTACACATATGGTCCACATATATATATGGAGGTAAAACATTCATACACATAAAATAAAATAAATCTAAAATAAAATGTAAAAAGAAGCCCTTGCCAGGTATGGTGGCACATGCCTTTAATCCCAGCATTCAGAAGACAGAGGCAGATGGATTTCTGAGTTCATGGTCTACAGAACAAGTTCCAGGACAGCCAGGGCCACACAGAAAAACCTGTCTCAAAAAAACAGGGGGAAAAAAAACCTTATAAATGCATTAATCAAGCAGGAAACAAAAATTAAGCAAATCTAGGGCATAAGTAAAGAGGGTGATGTGTTTATGTTCACTTAAACTGCAGAGCCGAGGGAGTCAGGATGGCTCACAGCAGGGCAGGGACAGGCAAGGGCTGTCCAGATGCCACAAGCCAGGCCTGGCCAGTGAATACAGCAGTCTTCAACAAGAAGTTTCTAGAAGGGAGAAGGGAGAGCTCTGTGGTTCATTTTCCATGGGTTAGATTGTCTGAAATAAGTACTAAACTACAACACATGCACACAATCTAGGCTTTCAATGTATAGACTATCAAAATTAATATTCAACAAGAAAAACAAAACTCAACTAAGCTAATTAAATCCACTAACAATCCAACTTAAGCTATTCCATCTGTGAACCCT